ATATGGCTGGGTGGAGAGAGGACTATAAGGTGGGAGGAGACAGGGGCTTATGGTATGCAGTCTGAGAATTCCTAGAGTCAGGATCTTGCCTATTCGGTCTGAGCATTCGGAGAGGTAAGAGCTCTAGTGGCTGGCTACTCTGCTTCTCTTGTCTTTCAGCTTTCACCCCTGAATATCTGACTCTGGGTTTTTATTTAATAAGACTAATTAGGATTGCATTACAGAGTACAAAGTATTACATAATAGCTGATCGTGCTGGTCATCTTGTCCTGCAGATAAACTTTTCCCCATGGTTCCTTCCACTTTGTCTCCTTCACTCAGCCTACTCTGGTCTGTGTTCAGAATTATGTCTGCCTTCTCTGAGTACTGTGTACAACAGCCTCTGTCCCCAGGGGTCCCTTTTTACTAAAACACATAGACTTCATGTGTATCTTCTTGACTGGATGCCAGTAGCTTCTTGCAATTCTGAGACAGGTTTATGTGTCTTTGTCTGGCCTTAAGGTCACAGCCATTTTCAATATGTTCAATAATTTTCTAAACAAACCCAAAGGAAACTACAGGGAAGGTAAAGCCTGAGTTGAAGACAGACAGATAGATAGATAGATAGATAGATAGATAGATAGATAGACAGACAGACAGACAGACAGACAGACAGACAGACAGACAGATAGATAGATAGATAGATAGATAGATAGATAGGAAATTCCTTTTGAACATAATAGAATAAAAGAGTCCATGACAATGAAGCAACCAGGTTCCTTGTCATCAGTGCAAGTTGAATAGAAAGAGAAAGATCAACAGCTAGCAATCGAATGGAACAATTCAGACAGGCAACCCAGTCGCCAACCTCCTCCTCCTGTGGGACACATTCTACAGCAAGTTGAATTTCTCTTTGCCCAGGTCCTATCCTGCAAAATAGGGGCAATGATACATCAGTGCACACCCTAGAGGGTGCTCATTAAATCCATCAAGTGCTATGAAAGGATAGTGTTCTCTATGATTTCTATTGAGCCTGTCAACATAGTTCCACTCAACTCTAGCCGTGTTTCATGCTCTCTTCCTCTTGTCTACCTCTCCTTCAGCCACACTGTCCTTTCTGATTCAGCGCTGCTCTTCTTTGTTGAGTACACTTACCTCCCAGGGTATTGCCTAGGAGCTCTTCTTAGCCAGTCCTCCCTTGACCCTAGAGCTTGAAACAGTCTGTGCCATACATTCTACTCGATATCACATTCTATACAGTACCTCCTGCTACAAAGGAATATCTCACTTACAGATTGATTTGTTGCTTAGCTCTTTCCACCAGAAAGCAAACAGCATGGGGACAGACATGACATTAAATGCATGGGATCACATGTTAAGCAAAACATTGAATATGATTTTGGAATGAACAGATGAACAAAAGGGCTAAATTCTGCCCAAAGTTCATTAACATCTGTAGTACCAAGCAAGGCAGTGGTAGCCAATGTAAATGAAAACTCTGGGAAGAATAAGGAATAAGCATAATCTTGATTAACTTTCACTTTTTCTCCCACTCTTAGAAATACAAAGAATGAAAATTTATGTGTAGAATTTATATGAAGGAAGTCACATGCATTGGACTGAAGCAGATAATAAAGTTAAACAGAAGCAATATTCAGCTAAGATACAACTAATATGTTTAATCATGATAAGATAGAATGAAGAGTGGCACTCTCTTTCATGTAGGGATAGAAACTGAGCTAATAGAAGCTCACATATAACTCCTAAATGAGGGCTGGAGAGATGGCTCTGCTGTTAAAGGCTAGGCTTACCACCAAAAATATAACTCCTAAATGAATTTTAACAAACAAAAAAGGCAATTGAATATTTCACGAGGTACCCTGGTCCTGCTGTGTGTTTTATGTTTTGAGCTCTGAAGTTGGAGCTGCACTTAGAGAAAGAGATAGAGATCCCTTGCTTTTAGTCATCACTGTCGCTTAACTTCAGACCTAGCACTGCTAACCACCTCAGTTTCCTGAGGCTAAATACCAAATAGTGTGTGGTAGTAGGCCAGAAGCCAAGGGCTTTCAGCCTGGCTGTGAGTCTAAATTTGTCTACTATGACATTCTATTATAGGTAACTTGTATCATAACTGCATGCAAAGGAATGCATGAAAATATCATAATGCAATGTCCCTTGCTCATGTGACAGATGTTACCATCTGAAGAGATAAAAGCAACTTAATGATCCAGAATTATCATTAGACTGTAGATTAGATTTAGAAGAAGCAAGGAAATGTGAACGTTAGTGCTATTTATTCTGTGATGCTGCATGGAGTGCAAACCTATTTGATTCCAGGATAGAAAAACAGTGTTCCTCTTTCTTTACAGAAGAGCAATGGCAAACATCTGGATTTACCCAGAACACTTTATCTCAGATAAATATTTCCAGGTCCAAAAGAAATTCAGGACAAATGGCTAACAGAGGTGTCTATTAGTATACCAAAGTACACACTGGCCTCCAGGCTCACTCAGTACCTGTGGCTCATCTCAGGTCCTCTAATCCTGCTCCCTACCCTAAACTACCCACCTCATGGGTTTCCCTTTCCCCAGATTCTGAGTCCTATATAACCCTGCCATTCCAGCCATGTGCTGCTCTCTTGCTCCTCCCTGCATCTCCTTTGCTTCCTCTCTCTTCCTCTGTTCCTCTCTTGCTCTCCTCTCATGGCCAGCTCAGTTTACTGATCACGTTTAGTCTACTACTTTCTCTCCCTGCTCTGTACTCTTCTGGATGCCTCTGGCTGTACTCGCCCTCATATCTACAATAAAAACTTTCTCCTCAACCATACCTTGGAACTGTCACACCCTCATTTCACTCTAATTTAAACTTCTGAGTTTGGTTTTCTTTCTATTTTTTTTGGGGGGGGGGTTCGAGCCAGGGTATCTCTGTGGCTTTGGAGGCTGTCCTGGAACTAGCTCTTGTAGACTCTCAGAGATCCGCCTGCCTCTGCCTCCTGAGTGCTGGGATTAAAGGCGTGTGCCACCACCGCCTAGCTTTTTCTATTATTAGCAGTAAAGTTAAATAATAGGGCCTCTGAAATTCCTACCTGCTAGTATTCCAATTCTAAATTCTGCCTTTGTTAGCAGTTTCTGGGTAAGATGCAGGGATTAAACTTCCCATTGGGCCCTAAGTGACTAAGAGGAGACCAATGTGTGACCAGGAGAAAGGAAGCAAAAACACAAGGATTGTGATGGCACCAACTGAATTAAGAAGTCAGGATCAGACTTCAGAGAAGCCCAACACCTAGGATCTGTGGGATGGAGTACCAGGTAGGAAGGGACAACTCCAGAGATGCGTGTGGGGGGCTTTGGCCACATTCTCATTTATACACACCTGTGTCCAGAGAGAACACTACAAACAGTTAACCTGACCAGGAAAAGAACATTGGCCAGGGCTGTGAAAATGCAGGCCTCATTACTTACTCTAGTTATCATATGACTTGATCCAACATCTACCAAGTATCTCTTGTATCTTATAGATAGTCTTCTGTATGGCTCAAGACATTTGCAAAGAGTAGACATGGATCAGGAAAAAAAGGAGGAAGCACACAGGCCCACACTGGGTAGGCCTGGGCCCTCAGTCTAATGGAAAATAAACTTAACTGGCATCTGGTTCAACACCTAAGTCAAGAGACTAATCAGCAACAGTTGTTGTTGGTAGTCATTCCACAGAGGAGAAGGGTTTGCCCTTGTCATGGCCTCCAGTTTTTGGCTCTTTCTGGAGTCCTGGGATTATTTCTAATCTCGGTTTCCAATGGTCGCATAGCAACCATCTAAATCCTTGAACCAAATGTCTCTGTCCAGTTCAGATCATCTTCTGGAAACAAAGTTCCCTATGCCTAGACATCCAGGGCCACACTTTAAAGGACATCTAAAAGAGCAAGATGGGGCTAAAAAGAAATGAAACAGTGTTCACCACATCCTACCTACTCCATTCCTCAGATTGCGTTTTTTGAGTTTCAAGGGAATTATCGCTACCGAAAATGAGAACTGGGGTTTAACCTCCTTGGACAAATCTATTCCATATCTTTCTGTTAAAATGTAAGTGCTTCTGATTAAATGTGAATGCTGTCTTCCTGGATGATACCCACTCCAGGAACTGCTGTCACCTTCCTGTCTTCAAATTGTCACACTTCCCACGTACATTCTCCTTCTTTTTCCCATTGCCCCTTTGACCCTGATCCCAGCCAATTCTCAGCTAAAGTTGAGGCACACACTGAACATGTTCATGGAAATAAATTATCCTGGCACATTGACTAAGAACATGGAAACTGGAGCCTGTGCACTTGGATTCAAAAGCTACCTCTGTCACAAACTGGCTCCATGATCCCGTTTGCTAGTCACTTAAGCTCTCTGTATCACAGTTACCTTGTCTGTGGAAGGAAAACAATCTTAGCATGTGTTTCATAGAGTCGATGTGTGGATTAATGAGATAACATCCCTAAAGCCCTCGGCACAGTGCCTGGCACATAACAGGCTCTCACTAAATGTGAGCTTTTGCTGTTCATAGTTATCTTTTATTTGTGGTTTTGTTCAGTGAAAACAGCAAGGTAAAAAGGAAATGAGAATTCTGGTAGTTTAGGACCTGTTTGTTTGTAGAAAGGGGAAAGAGGCAATAGAGAAGACTCCTGACTGAGGATGGGAGGAGAAACTCCTAGAGGGCAAGGTGTGGAGAGTTTGCCATGCACAGCTCCTTCCTGTTTCGTGTACCTCCCCACCCTCTCCTAATACACACAGACACAAAGCTTTAGCATCTTTCAGTCCTCATGCTCTGACCCACAGCTTCACTTCAGGGTGAGCGATGCTGTGTTCAGAATCACTGTAGAGCATAATTCAATAGAACCTTTTAAGCCACATCATAATACAGCCGAACATCAGAAGCAGGGGCGAAAATCCTCATGCAACTTATTTTTTTTTTTTTTACCAGATTGTGGAAACTGTGAAAAAGCTTGTTATACTGGGGATCAAGCAGACTTTACTCACCTGCAGGAGTCGACTTGGCTGATTAAGGATCCTCCCTTTTGCAGAGCATCAGCTGTGGCGTCTTTAATTTCTCTGTGTAATTCCTCATGCCTTGCTGCCAAGACAGGCAGGCTTAAACCCTCTGATTTAAGGAGCTTAAGGTAAGCTTCAACTTTTCCAAGTACATCAAATGCCTGCCAAGAAAAACAGACTTTCATTTTCTGCTTTTCTAGCTTAAAACTCTACATCAATGTGTACACGAAACACTAGCGATTAAAGCAGTATTACTTCGCATTGAACTTAGTAGCTTGAACATAGCAACAAAAAATATCTTAGTTCTGGAAAACAGCTGTGCGGTCCCCACTTAGGGAAACTTACAGCTTAGTTCAACATAAATAAATATCAACACAGTGAAAATACCAAAATAGCTTATACTGAGAAAATACCTGTATTGCACAGATAGACAATGATCTGAAATCCAGAGAGTCAGACTGATGGTTTGCATAGTTTATACTATACACACATAATGGATGAGCTATTAAAAACTTAGTAGCCTTTCATGACCTGAATATCTCTGAAATAAGTCTTGAAGGGAAACTTCCTAATGAGCTATTCTTCTACTTCGAACCTGAAGCCCTAGAGGGAGACACCCAAGAAAGTACTACTATGGTTTTACCCCTTGCCTTTTAAAATACGACCTTGACCTATCCCATCCAAGGCATCCACAAGAGGTGATTATAACTCAATTCTGGAACAGTGCAAAGACTGAGAGCAAAGTCATTGTTTCTGATATGCTACAAAAAATTATAAAGGAAAAAAAACAAACCACAGACCTTTCAAATCAAGGCATCGTCTTAATTTTTCTTCATGTCTATGGGTGTTTTGCCTGCATGCACATCTCTATACCATTTGCATGCCTGGTGCTTGTGAAGGATAGAAGAGGGTGTGGGGTTCCCTTGAACTAGAGCTACAGATGGTTGTACAGATAGCCCTGGAGGTACTGTGTGGGTGCTAGGAACCGAATCCCAGTCCTCTGCAAGAGCAGTAAATGCTCTTCACCACCAAGCCTCTCCAGTCACATCTCTTCAAGGTATTGTCTGAAAGTAAGATTTTTAAACTCCTTTGTTTTCTTTCTGCACTGGCAGGACAACTGTCCAACACAGCAGATGAAGCTTACAAAATTAATATGGAATATAAACAAGCTGTTCATTGGCTATTGAGGCTAAGATGACATTAAGATACAGAAGCCCTCATCCAGTGACTGATGGAAGCATTGACTGACATCCACAGATATACACTGAGCTGAAATCTGGAATTTAGTTGAAGAGAGGGAGGAATGAAGAGTGAAGGGGTCTGTACCAGGTTGGAGAACAGTTGGCCTGAACAAGGAAGAGCACATCAACCCCCGATGCTATCTGGGAGGCTAGTACAAGACTGATCCAGTCCCCTGAACATGGATGTCAATAAGGAGGCCTCTGCACTCCAGGGAGCCTCTGGTAGTGAATTAGTATTTTTCCCTGGTGCAAGAAGGGACTTGGAGAGCCCATCCCACACGAAGGGTTACACTCTGGCCCTGGATACATGGGGAAGGGCCCAGGACCAGCACAGGAAGATTT